ATATGAATCCTTTAATGAAAAATTCGATCACGCATATAGATAACATAAAAATCTGTATCTACTTTTCAACAACATATCTGTTAAAAGAAAATATTATCTAAATAAGGAAGAGTTCAAACAAAGATAGCTTATCTATAAAAAAACAAAAAGCATGCAAAAGATGTAAACAGGCTGTATGTGCATAAGGATATGGATAATAGGAGAAGCTCTCGTTATGCACAGAAAGTTTAATGGGAACTGAAAATCTGACTTAGTAAAAGTTTGAGTTATCAGAGTCTGTTATTACATTTTTATTTATATTTTTGGGGAATATCCTTGGAAAATAAATTGCTCCAGAATATCATGAAACTCAGAATATCATGAAACTCAGAATATTTATTTTATCACTGTTACATAATTTTGTTTATAAAAAGTGTTATATAATGTTATTAAATCTATTCACTATTATTGATGTATTTAGTGTAAAAGTTTATTATTATTGTTATTATTTTTGTTACAATTTATAAATAATTATTGTGTATAATTATATACTTTAAGTATATTATGTGCATAAATTTATTATATCATAGTATTAATTGTTTTTAGTAGTGAGTTTTAATACAGTTGTGTTATAATTGCAATATAATGGGCATGACACAGGTGTTTTTAGAAGTTAAACTAGATGGTTATTTTTTATATTTTCAAGTTTCTGTTTAAAGATCATATTAGAAGCAAATTTTGAGTTTCATTGAAACTAGATTTTTATTAACAGTTTTTTTTATCAGTTCTTCATTTTGTAACTATTTAATATTTTATTTTAGTTTTCCTACTGTTGAAATATGGTTTTAATTTAGTAAAGTTTCATGATTTGAAATTTACTTTATTGGTCATAAGCTAACAGTTTAGAAAAAAGAAATTTAGCACAGTTAGGGTAAGAAATTTGTTTACTTTTAGCATTTCAAAACTGGGTTTTACTGTTCAATTCTTATGCTATTCCTAGTTTATGTTATATGTCATACGAATAATAAACAAATTGTGTGTTCATTGTTTAGGGTCATGAAATTATTGTATCATTATTGATTGACTCTTGATATAACGGTCGATCACTGCCAATATATAGTTGCTGCATTACTTTGCATACAAAATATTTTTATGTACACAAAATTACTTTTGCACTGTACTCTAATAAATAGGACGGTCAGAAATTTTTCTAAAATCTAATAAACGAGGGGGGGGGGGGGGTTCTTAATAAACCGAAGGGTCGGAATTTTAAAAAGCTTAAAATAGTTTTTTTGGTTGGTTGTTTATACTTTCATCTATTATTGAGAGAAATATTTTTCTCAAAGTAAAAAAATAGCAAAAATATTTTATATTGTTTCAAATTATTATTCGGGGGGAGGGGGGAGGGGGGAGGGGGATCCTAATAAGCTCCGGGAGGTCGGAAAAAAATTAATAAACGTCCCTTTCCGTTTTTTTGGCAGGCGAGAGTAATTATTTTTATTATCATTGTTTTATTAGTGGTAACCCTGTTATTGAATTGTTATTGATATAAAGTTGATTACTGCTAATAAAATAAAGTCGCTGCATTATTTTGCATACAAAGTATTATCATGAATATAAAATTGATATGTTTATAAGAATTGTAACCTTTCTGATCTGATTATTTAATCAAAATACGGGTAATTTAAAGGGTATAAAAAAAGAGGTTAAAAATTTTTAAAAAAGTTTATGAAAAATATAGTCAAACTACGTACGTATTCGTTGCCTTGAACACCTCTTAAACAAAGTTGTGCGCTTTTGGATGACCCCCCTCCCTCCCTCGTACTTTATAAAAACCTTTTTTACGACCAACCCCTTTCATACAACGCGCGCGCGGGAGGGGATTAATTTTTTTTTTTTTAATTTTTTTTAAGTGTAATTTATTTCGCCGTTAAAGAATGTTTACATTGCATATACATATATCAAAATTAATGGCAGGAGCAAGAAGAAGGCACATTTTGCCTTATCGCCGAGCCCCACATATAAAAAAAAAAACTCTACATAACCGTAACATACAAATGTATATAATATAAATATATAAAATATAGGTCAGAATTAAAACAGAAAATAACTGAGAAAATTAAGAAATTCAAAATAGCAAATAACTAAGAATTATCGAAATGCTAGCAACCGCTAAAATGTTTTAAAATCATTTAAACAAAAAGTTTTAAATAAGAATAAAATTTCATAATTAACATTATCACAAGATGAATTTTTAACATCATTACTTAAATTTGATTGATATAAATAAATTTGTTTTTATTTGATTAAATTTCAAAAGAAACATTTGAAGTCAGATAAATTAAGATCCCTGAGTAGTAATAATTGTTTTGATACATTTTTAAATTGTTCTAATGTAGTCTTGATTTTGTTGACAATCTCTGGGAGTTTTTTCCACAGATAAGGTCCGCGATATTTAATTGAAAAGAAGGTTAATTTTAAATTATACTTGAGAAGAACAAAGTTGTTATCAGAAAACTTATATATATATATATATATATATATATATATATATATATATATATATATATATATATATATATATATATATATATATATATATATATATATATATATATATATATATATATATATATATATATATATATATATATATATATATACAGTATTTATGAAAGACAATACATCTTTTTAAGAGTTATCATAGAACTAATGAATGTATAATTTATTTTTAAAAAGTTTCTTTTCAGTCGTATGAATTCGTAGCTAAACTTGAAAACACGCCATATTTAAATAAAGTTGCACATGCGCATTGCGGCGTTTTCGGCTTAGAAAAAACGTTTTCTAAATGTTTTATAAAGGTCCTGTAAAATACGAAATTATTTGATAGAAAAAAACATTAAAACGTTTTCTGAACGTTTTACTTATACAAACGTCCTTCAAGCAACCATTAAACGTTGACAAAACGTTTGCAAAACGTAATTGTGCCAACTGGGTAGTTGCTGTGTTTATTGTTACTCTAGTGAGTAGATTTATTAAAGTAACTGATCCTGTTTCAAAAAGTTCATCATAAAAATTCTTAATTTTATGGTTGTCATTATAAAGAATACAGTTTGTGTTTAAGTCTCCGACTTTCTTTTTTATCATTGGTTTCTTTTCTAATGATTTGTTGTAAGAACATGATCAGGTTTTCACTCACGCCGTCAGGTGGTCGATAAAAACAGCTTAGCAAACTGTTTTTAGTTTGATTGTTTGTAATTTCAATAGTTACAATTTCTTTATCGCAGTCAAAAACGCTCAAATCGTTCCTAAAACAATACTAGAATCCAAGTTTCAGTTAAACAAATTTTATTAAAAATGTGTTTAGTTTTTTCTAATAAATTTAAAAGTTTTTCAAAATTGCATTTTAAACACTTTATACTGAGGTGGAGAATTACAAATTAATTATTATTTTTTTCGCGAGAAATCTTAAAAAGAAACCCTTCTAGTTGGCTAGGAAAATGATACGAACAATCGGATAAAATACTGCGATAAAAATTATTTTCAAGGTCTAGGTTTTCTTCTGAAGAAAAGAGATTTGTTTCATATAAATTAAAAAAAAGGGATTCAAAGTTATAACCATAATAATAAATGGAAGAAAAAAATTTTTTTTTCATATCTTACCGTTACATTTTCACCATTTGAGCGCCTTTGTTTAACTTCCGCAAATAACTTTTTCCGAATAGTCTCATGAGAAAAGTCTTCGTTAATAAAGGAACCCGTGTCTTTTATTTGATTGAGATTCTTTCAAGATTCTTAATTTGTCATTGTATTTCTGCAGGTTAAGTACTATTGTCCTTGGTCGTCCAATTTGCAAACTAAAAAAATTCGTAGGGGGGCTAGACACCCCCCTGCGCCCCCGCCCCTATTCCTCGGGACGGTCTTGTATGTAAGTTTGCTCGAATTTTTCATCTAGTTATTTATTGTTGTTATGAATTCTCTTCTAATTCCTTTGTAAGTTCTTTAATTTTGTTTGGTTTCACGTTAATGTTTGACTCTGCTTTGTCCAATCTGTCGTTAATTATTTTTATATTAGCGCCAATAATATCAATAATTTCTCTTGCTTAAGAAACATTTCTTTAGTTTCTTTTTTGAATTTTTTAAATATTTCTTTTAACATTTTTTTTTATTTGTGTTAGTGTTACTGTCATAATATATATAGGAGATAAAATAGAAATAAATTTTTCTTTAGATTAAAGTTGTATATTTTTCCAAATGTAAACAAACAACAACAGTGAACAAAATGCTCAACTTGGTGTCCTTATTGATTTACTTAAATTCACTGAGGGCTATTCTAAGTAAATCAAGAAGGCAAGCATCATATAACAAAATAAATGTAAAAAAATGCAGAGCATTTTTTTACATTTATTTTTATAATGACCAAATCAAAAAAAATTTAAGTACTGTCCAAATGCTAAGTTTTTTTTTTAAGTTTCACTTTTTAAAACTCACTTTAAGAGGCCGAGGAGGTAATTACAGTCGAGAAGGCTTCTATATTTTTTTTAAATAAATTTGAAATAAAGGTAAAGAAAGAAGCACAAGTTGACAAATGAACTTTATTATATTGCGAGCAAATGTAAATTTTATTGTATAGGGCTTCCACTAAAAAGATTGTAGAGTAACTAAATACGACCGAAATAGTTCTACATTTCTACAGAAGACTCAAGGGAATGAACACCAGCTAAATTAAGGTTATGAGTGCTGCATGGCATGTAGAAAGCTTAAGGATTTCTCTGAAGAATGATCGCTTGTACTCCTTTGTACACACCAGACATATTTTTTTTTTTTTTTTTTTTTTTTTTTTTTTTTACAACAATTGTTATATATTTCAAGAACAAATATTTATATGACTCCAGTTTATATAAATGTCCACCACACATATTTGCAATATCTAATAAGCGTTAACAATGCTGTTTCACGCTTGGCATATTACAGTGGGTTAGAAATTATATTATATTAGCACCGTTGTCATATCCCTGACCTCAACAGTTCTTCAGATCAATGTCATTTTGATCTAAGACATCTATAATTAGCTTAGCAATATCCAAACCTTTCTTTTTATCAAGACTTTCGACCCCAAGAAAGCGCTCCTTAACTACCCATTTTTTATCAATACCAAAGTAGACAAAGCGGAGAACAAATGCAATTTGCTCAGTAAGAGAGACTTCAGGCGTTCCGTCGACAAGAATAGAATAGTAAATTTCCATATGCGCCTCTTTAATGATGGCACCGTAGACGATTCTTCCGCACTCTTTTATAAATTCATTTTGAGAACTACAACCCAAATAATGCGCAATAATTTGTTTACCTTCTTGTTGACAGCGAGAAACCTCTTCTAAATGTAACTGAAGAGTCTTGTTGTGCTTTGCGAGTAGCTCTAGAGTTGCAAGAAAATTACCGTTATCGTCATCACCGATCATTTTTGATGAGTCTTAAATATCGATTTTAATTACACATATAAATCATGACTTTCTGTTTAATTATAGTAAAAATAAATTATAGCGTAAACATAAATATAACAATTAATGTTCACAAATATACCTCTTTAGCTAAGGTTGCGTGATGCTAAGAAGAGAATTACATCTAAAATGCACTTTAAAGTATTCACGCCACCTGGCTGGCTCATTTCTTATCAATTTTTCTAAACTTGAATCAATCCCACATTGATTTCCCAAGTTTTTCAGTGCTGTTTTCCACTTAATGTAATTGTCTCGATGGTGAGGATTGTTTTGGTCGCATTTTACTTTTTCAGCTAGCTTTCTCCAGTTTCCATTGATGCCACCATTCCAACGTAGAAGATGTGAATTATTACCAGCTCTGCAGGCTTGTTTGCTTCCGAAAAGTGAGCACGGAATATATATATGTATGTATATATATATATATATATATATATATATATATATATATATATATATATATATATATATATATATATATATATATATATATATATATATATATATATATATATATATATATATATATATATGCATACATATTTATATATATGTATGTATATATATATATATATATATATATATATATATATATATATATATATATATATATATATATATATATATATATATATATATATATATATATATATATCATACACACATATATATATATATATATATATTTATATATTTATATATATATATATATATATATATATATATATATATATATATATATATTTATATATATATATATATATATATATATATATATATATATATATATATATATATATATATATATCTATATATATATATATATATATAATTATATAGAATTAATTAAAATTTCAGAATGGTTTAAATTAAATAAGCTTTCTCTTAACATTGAAAAAACAAAATGGTCTTTTTTTCATCCATACTACAAAAAACATCTTCTACCAAGTGAATTGCCTGCTCTTTTTATAGATGACATTCAAATTAAAAGAGTAACGGCTACAAATTTTTTAGGGGTTTTTATTGATGAAAATCTGACATGGATAAAACATATTGAAAACTTATCCTCTAAAATTTCCAAAAGTATAGGAATACTATTTAAAATGAGAACCATGCTAAATAAACATACTTTAATTCAGCTTTACCACTCTTTTATTCATTGCCATCTAAACTATGCTAATGCGGCTTGGGGTAGTGTAAGGAAAACTAAATTAGAACCACTTTATTGCCAACAGAAACATGCTGCACGACTTATTAATTTTAAACATCGATTTTATCATGCTAAGCCTCTTTTAAACGAAATGAATATTCTTAATATATATCAACTTAATATTTTTAATGTATTGTGTTTTATGTTTAAAGTCTCGCACATCTACAATTTCTTTTCACAGTTTATATTCTTTAAAAGTTAAAAATAAATACAATTTGCGTAATGAAAATTTTATTATTCAACCAGTTTTCAAAACTAATTTTGGTAAATTTTGTATTTCATTTAGAGGAGCATTTTTATGGAACAAAATAGTGTTAAAACTTTTTGATCTCTCTCTTGAATGGAACTTTTTCTTATTTAAAAGAAAACTAAAAGAAATTCTTTTCTCAGTTGAAAACATTCTGATATATTTTTAAGTTTGTTTTGTTTTTTATTAATACTCTTAAGAAATATTTTATTGTAATTTATATATACGAAATCTTTTATCTTAACTTATATATATATGTATGTATATGTATATGTGTGTGTATGTGTATATGTGTATGTATATATGTGTATATGTATGTATGTATATATATATTTGTATATATGTATATATGGATATATGTATATATATATATATGTATGTGTGTATGTATATTTATGTATGTACGTATATATGTATGTGTATTTGTGCGTATTATATGTATGTGTATATATATATATATTGATGTGTAAGTATATTTATTTACATGTTTGTATGTTTAAATATGTATAAATAATTGTATTTGTATTTATGTGTGAATATTTGTCTATGAATTATTAAAGGATTATTTATTATTTAAAAACTGTTTAGGCGGTTCTCGATGACAAGATCTTATGATCTTCTGCGAGTATCCGCGTTCTTGTTGTAACGTTAACAAAATTGTAATTCTGACTATACGTATTTTATTCATTCTTATATTGTAAAACTTATTTTGAATAAATAAAAAGAACAAAAAAAAAAAAAAAAAAAAAAAAAAAAAAAAAAAGTTTGGGCAGAATAAAAAAAAAAAGGCAAAAATATATATATATATATATATATATATATATATATATATATATATATATATATATATATATATATATATATATAGATAGATAGATAGATAGATAGATAGATAGATAGATAGATATATAGATAGATAGATATATAAATAAGGTTAAAGTAAGTAGATTTAATATAGTTTCGCTAAGTATCATAAAATTAGTTTTCAATCAAGTTCAAAACTTTCTAAAAAACAAAACATGTTCAGTTTCAAGAATAAAGATTCTGGCTGTCAAAACAGAAAAAATGCGGCAAATAGGACAGCAAATGAGAAAAAAAATAAACGTACACTCGAAGATTGTGGTATGCAAGTTTAAAAAAAATGACGGGGGTAAGCCTACAGTTTCCAGATTGATATCTATAAATTCCTCTCAATCACGTAAAGTTTTTGGAATAGTAAGTTCATTTATCTAAACATAACCTTCTTTTTTTTTTATATTTTTCCTATTATACTATTATTATATAAACTAGCTGGGCGGACCCGTAAAATACGGGTCTTTACCGAACCGACCATTTTTATACTTATCTGTCAGGGTTATTTTATCATTTCTATAGCTATCAGGACGTAAAATAAGGGTCTTAGTAAATCTATTCCACACCGACCTTTTCTATACTTATTCCTTACCTCAATATTTTTTTAAAACCGTTTTAAAAACTATGTACATATAAAAAACTATACTTACTTTTTGATATGACAAAAAAATTTCATTATATAACGTTATAATGTTCTTAAAAAACTTTAAACGCTTTTAATATTATGCCGATTATAAAGATTTTAAAAATAAAAAACGTAAAAAAGACTACGAACTTTGAAAAATGCTAAAACATTCAGCACGTGATGCCGTTAAAGTACGCCTTAGTTAACGTTCATAACATATACACATCTAATTAGATTTTTTTTAAATTCAGTTGTTCCAAACTTGGTTTTGAATTTTTAATTACACTTCTTATGCGTCATAAATTATCTCAAATTCTAAATAGAGAATACGTTTATGGGCTAATTGGTAGCCGCGCAACACTTAGACAGATATAGTCATCTCACCCCGGGAGTTCATATTCCAGTGACCTTTTTTTTCATCCCAACTTACAACAAAAATAATTAAAAATAAATGTTATTATTGAAACAGTTTTAAACATTTATTCCAATTTTTCTTTGAACTTAATTTTATTCACGGTAAATATACTTTTGGTGTTTGTAAGCGTATTGGTAGGAATTATTTGCACGCACGTATTTTAAACAATTATTTTTACTGTTTCATCTAAAAATCATATGTAATTTAGTTTTATAATTTTTTAAATATAATATATATAATTTAAAATATTTTATTAACCCTATTTAAATAAGTATCAAAACTCTTTTCTTTAATTTAAAAGAATGCCTGCCCAAACCTAAACCCTCAGTTGATGTATCTCCGCTTTGCTTTTATTTGTTAACCGTTAGAAAAACATTACAAAAAGAAACATAATAGAGTCCATTAGTTTATAGCATCCGAGTAGACTCTTCCAATATTAAACAGAGTATCTTACAATTTTATTGGTTTTCTAAATTCTGTCATAGTTGCGCACTCGGTTTAGAATATTTAACGGGGGCGTAAATAAGTAACTGTAAAATTCTAAATATTTTTATTATTTTAAATTAAATAGTTTTAACGTTTTATTATTTTGAAAAATAATAAGTTCAATAAAATAATTTATTTTAAAAATAAATTTAAGATTTTTGAAGTTTTTTTAAATAAGAATGTTTTTTTTTTTAAAACCCCCTCACTGTTTTAAAAAAATTGAAGGTCGCCGCGTGGCAAGTTCAAATCATCAGCTTGCTTTTTTTAATAAAATTATTGTTATTTAAAATGCAAAACAAAACAACTTTATAGTTCTAAATATTTACATGTTATATACCCAATTTCTTTGCGCTAATACGACTTAAAATAACATGACAAATAATAAATTTAAAATTATAATAAATAAAAGTTTACGTAAGTTAGCACACACTTTCGTTAATGTTTTCTTATAAAAAGGTGCTGCGACTCTTCCTCGCCAGTACCTCGGTTGCAATGGCTGCGTTGGGTTTTGTGTCAAACGTGCTCGAAAGGGCACTACTACTATTAAGTTCCTTATTATTATATAGTGATGATGATGATGATGATGATGATGATGATGATGATGATGATGATGATGATGATGATGATGATGATGATAAATCTTTAAAAGTGTTTTTTTTTGTATTTTAGAAAAATCGAAAAAGATTAAAAAAAAAAGAAAAAAAAAAAAAAGAAATAAACTAAGTGTTTCAAGACTTTATGCCGCAGTTTAGTAAACCGAAAATAAATAAAACTATATAGACTATGGTAGGATTCAAACCACAGGTTTTCTGATCAGAAGCTCAGCGAGCTAACCACGGCATTTTGACGAAAATTTCCAAAATATATAATAAATAAAAAACTTTGTAAATCGATCAAAATTAAAGAGACGTTGCCGCAATGCTGTTTTTAACTGAAAGTAAAACTGTAAAACTTGACATGTTTTTGTATGTTTTAACATTTCATATTTTGAAGTTTACGTAAGTTAGATATTTGCATACACTTTTGTTCACGTTTACTTATCAAAAAGTGCTGAGACTCTTCCTCGCCATTACTTTGGTTGCAATAGTTGCCATGGGTTTGTCAAACACGCTCGAAAGAGCGCTACTAACACTATTAAGTTCGGCAATAATATATAGAGAAGATAGCTTTTAGTAAATGGTATGAAGATTAGTAATACGTCTTTAGAAAAAGTAAACGCTTTTAAAAAATGATTAACGATTAACAATTTTTAAACCAGTTATAACAGGAAATCTACCTATAAAATGAAGAAAAATATTGTTATATAAAACACCGAATACACATATAAAAGTTGTTTAAAGTTATTTAAAAGTTGTCTAAATGTTGAAAAATTACATAATAAGATGTAAAAAAAAAAATATAAAAGGTGACGAAACTTAGTCAATTATCAAACACTAAATAAGAAACTTACTTTGTGAGATCGCTTTTGTGGAAGTCTCTAGTATTTGATTGGAAGGCTGGAAACACTCTTTATTTAAAAAGCTATTTTATCAACAATGCTAAAGATAAAAAGTCACAGTGAGATAAAAAAATTAGGCATTTATTCAAAAAAATATTTTTTTGGCTTTTAGTGAATGATTAGAAGGAGTAGTTTCAGTAATGAAGCTAGCTAATAATCATTTTTAACGATAGACACCAGCGTGAAGGTAACCCAAGCTGTCTATCAACACAAAACATCACAACAGAAACATTACACAATGACAAACAAAAACACCAGTGGTGTAGGCAGGACTTTTGTTGTTTTATAAGAAATTTAAAACCTGTTAATGAATAAGATTATTATTATGTGCTTAAAAAAAATACTTTTTTAACTAATTGGCAGCTAAATTCAAGGGAGGAAAGCAAACCTTTTTAAAACATATTTGTTTTCAAGCCCCAACCACATCCATATTTTACAAATTATTTGAATTTGACAAACATGAACACAATTAAGTTTAGTTGAAAGAGTCTGAAAGTAATGAAAGAGTTTGAAAGTAATGAAATAGTCTGAAAGTAATGAAATAGTCTGAAAGTAATGAAATAGTCTGAAAGTAATGAAAGTAATTAAAGAGTCTGAAAGTAATGAAAGAGTTTGAAAGTAATTAAAGAGTCTGAAAGTAATAAAAGTAATAAAAGAGTCTGAAAGTAATGAAAGAGTCTGAAAGTAATGAAAGAGTCTGAAAGTAATGAAAGAGTCTGAAAATAAAAGTAAAACCTGAAGCATCAAAAAATCCTGCCTACGCTACTGAATAATACACAACATATGACATTTGTAAGTACACATTACACAATGTATTCAGATATTATGTGTTTCCAAAATAATTAAAAAAGCTAGACAACACAACCTAGCTCAACACTTGTAACACCGCTTGGCACTAAATGCTGCCAAGTAACACCACAATTTAGTAACACCGCTTGGCATTAAGTGCCAAGTAACACCACTAATTAGTAACACCACTTGGCTGGCAAGGATCACAATCTTGCACTACACGTTGCCAAGTAACACCACTTTTCAAACATGGAAACAACATAATATAAACTTAAACTTATATAAACAAACATATACAAACACAAACATCTATATATAAGTAAAAACATATATTCACATATATAAACATATATAGCAAAGAAAAAAAACATAAACAAACTTGTCAAAATTATAAATTAAGAACATTTGTAAACACAACATTATTTGTGTAATATTTGTTAAATGACATACCTTGTAATGCATGTTTATCAACTTTAAAAAACAAACTATTAAAAAATTTTGTTCTTGAACATGCAACATATAATTGGCCGTGTGAAAAGCAAGGCTTTTTGAGATAAATACCAACTTTATCAATTGTTTGACCTTGACTTTTATTTATGGTCATTGAGTATGCTAACCTAACTGGAAATTGACGACGTTTAAGTGTAAAAGGTAAATTTGAATCTGATGGAGCTAATTGAACTCGAGGAACAAATACCCTGTTACCAGCTGATACACGTGTTAGAACCTCACCATCAATGTAATTGTTGTGTAGTGCACGCACCATCAAACGTGTTCCATTACAAAGTCCACCTTTGAGATCTAAATTTCTAAGTAGCATAATAACAGCACCAATTTTCAACTTTAGGCAATGAACAGGCATACCTGATGGAGTCAAAGTATTTAAAAACTCGACTGGAAAATTATAAATTTCATTATGATCATCAGTTTCAATGCTATCTGAACTTAAATAAGTTTTAACATCACCCGGTAATCGATGAAGGACTTCTTCATTTATTGCCAATGAATCAACATTTGTTGGTGTTAAAATAGCACGTTTTGCATAATCAGCTTCTTCTGCACCACCGAAAATCTTTTCCACAATAGATTCATTATCATTGAGAAAACACTGCTCAGGTATTTCAATACACCCTTGCAAAGGATCTTCAGGCTTGACAGGTAATGTTCCACTTCCAAGCTTTAAAAGCCATTGAGAAAATTCCTTTTCTCCTATCTGAACCCTCATATTTTCAGTTAATGAAAACCTTTGCACATATTGCCAATGTTCAGAACACTTTATACATGATTCTACAACATCTGCTGGTCGACCTCTCTTCACAACTGGAAGTATTTGTCATAAATCTCCACCCATAAGAATAACTTTACCACCAAAAGGAAACTTATTATTACAAATATCTTGTAATAACTTATCAATGGCACTCAAAGCATGTTTGGGTATCATAGATGCTTCATCGAGTAAATATAAACTAACTTGTCTCAGGAATCTACCATGAATGGAGTTTGGAGTTACATTACATGTGCTAGTTTCCAAAATTGGAACAGGAAGTTTGAATAAGCCGTGCAATGTGCATCCATTCTTAAGAAGAGTTGCAGCTATTCCTGTCCATGCAGCTGTTGCAGTTCTAATATGCCTGCTGCGTGTTTCAGCAATTAAATAATTGTAAGTAAATGTTTTACCACAACCGGCAGGCCCATCCATAAAGAAAAATCTTGAATGCTTATTTTCATTATTAGGTTCTTCACTTAGTGCAGCAAGGATTGCATCAGCTACATTACGCTGATTATCGTTTAATAATGGTCTAACTCGATTTGCTTCATCAATAAATACCTGAATATCTCCATCATCATTTTCTAGGACATTATCTAATAACTGATCAAATGTAGGCAAATTATAATCAGTTAAAGTTTTACCACTCTGATTAATTATAGATTCAATTTGACGAAGAGCAGTCTGTTCAGCAAGTACAACTGGCATTGAATGGTGTATGTAATCCTCAATCATATAATCTTTAAATGTATTCCAAAGGTGTAAAGGATCATCAGGTTCACGTAAAGTCAATATGATGGAAAACAGTTGCCTAATTTGTTTAGGCATTCGAGTTGCTACAGCTTCAGTTAATGTATTTCTCCATTCAATGTCATCTTGCAATAGACCTAATCGATAACATGCTTCACGAAATGTATTAAAAACAGTGCCATGAATAGTACGCAAATCCTCAAAAGACATTGCACCTTTTACATGCAAAAGCAACAATCTAAGAAAAAATACTTCACTGGTTAGATTGACTTTATACATTCGCACAATCACCTTATCACTGCCTCTTTGTCTTACTTTCCACTTGCAATTTTTACCATCAAAAACAAAGTGATACGGAATTTCAACATAAGAATACTGACGTGCTTCATTTATCTCAGCATTTAATTTAAACCAAGCGGTTAGGTGAGTGTCACGCTGTGCAGCACGATCTATAGCTACTCGTTCTTCTCCTTCGTTAAAATATACTCTCTGATTATCAGGAAGGTGGACTTGAAGGCGGATAATAGTATGTGACATATCACTTATGGAATACTCAAATATTCGCCAAAGAGCCTCTGGTGCAGAAACAAAGCGACAATCTAAAATATGTGTAATTTCATCATGGTCAAGACTTTTATTATTTAACACATGAGCACAATCATGCCCCTTATAGACATATTTATATAAATACTTAACTGACTTAATAGACATGCAAGCTTCAACATTAATATGTGCTTGGTATTTTTTAGATAACCAAGGGTTGTAGGGTACAACCCATCGATTATCAACTTGGTTACCTTTTATAACGACTACTCTACCATTATCTAAACGCCTGTAGTGAAGATAGCCATTGAAAGTTGCAACAGTGTGAGGATTAAATTCTTTAGGAAACTTTTTTGTGCAAATCCCATTTTTCATGCAAAAAGAATTGGGATTCAAAATTCCACATGGTCCGTGAATCATACATGTTTTTATAATTTCAAAAGTTCAGGATCAACAGTTTGATCTGGAATTTCAGCTGATATTAGACTATCAATATCCTCTGCTGTTTCTACCTTATCATCATTTACAAAGTGCAATAAAATATGTACATGTGGCAAACCACGTTTTTGAAACTCAATAACCTGTACATGACTTATAACTTTACCTAAGACTCCGTGTTTAAAAATATCATCTAGGAAGCATTTAAGTTTCATCTTAAATACACGACAAACTAAATCAGGTCTGTCAGATGGGCTCTCACCTGGATTTAAATTTTCTGTAATTTCTTTCCATTTTGGATTGCAGGTAAAAGTAATAAAAAGATCTGGTTTGCCATATCTCTTCATAATTGCATCTTCAAAATTTTCTTTTAAAGCTCTTGGACTTCCAACATATGAGGATGGTAGTATAAAAACACGACCTGGTCTTACATTAAGGTTATTTGCAGCGTTATTTACATGTTCATATAATGTATCATATTGTTCACTTCTAAGTCTGTTTTGGTTATTTCTAATAAAAGCAAGGCGCTGACCTTCAATCTTGACATATGCATCAACAGCATACTGTTGAAAAAGCTTCTTACCATAAAATATAGGATTAAAGGTTTCTCTAACAGAAAGCCTGTAATTGTAGTACTGAGACAAAGTAACCCGATTTCTAACACGTGTAGCTCGGTCAGGATGATGCTCTAGTTGCTCATGCCATCCAGCATCACTTCTTGGAAAAAATATTGGATATATCATTGGATCTAGATTTGCAGACATACTTGAAATTGTTTTTAAGGCCTGACCTCGAGGGTATATAACTACTTCCCTAGATGGAGGTGGAGCACCATCATCCCTAACAAAAACAATGGCAACTTCCTCATGTGAAGGAAGATTGTATCGACGTCTATCACCACCTTCAAGCAATGACATTTTAACAATCGAAGTTGGTCGACCTTCTAAAGCTGCTTGACTTACTTCTTCATCTTCAATTTCAGCCATGTTTTTAAATGCAAGAGCAAATGGGTTCTCTTGACTAATTATAGTCTGCAAAAATTCCATCAACTCACGTATGCAACAATCATTTAATTACTCACTAAAAAAACATTATTTCTTGCTATGCAATGCATTCCACGTCTATGTAATACTCTCCTAGCCTAATTTCTTTCATTTTGGCGACGATTAATTTCTTCTCGCCTAGCCTGATTTCTTTCATTTTGGCGAAGATTAATTTCTTCTCGCCTTGCCTCATTTCTTTCATTTTGGCGAAGAATAATTTCTTCTCGCCTTGCCTCATTTCTTTTATTTTGGCGACGATTAAGTTCTTCTCGCCTAGCCTCATTTCTCTCATTCCGACAATTTCTTCTTATTTCAGCTCTCAAGTTATTTGACATAACTAAGAAACTATGTTTGATAAAACTTGATTTGATTAATTTTTTGTTATACTAATCTAAAATGGAAAAACATAATATGTGCATTTCTAATTATCAATATTAACTCTATAAGACTATTTATATATTTTCTAATAAAAATTATTGACCTAAAGTCTTAACTTAACTGGTTTAAAACAGAGAAAAACCTAAAAGTTAAACATAAGTTGAACCACTAAGTATTACATTTAAAGTAATAAAACAAAATATTTTAGAAATAAATTAAAATAAAATTATAACAATTTTAACAATTTTTTAATGCTAATAATAACTAAATTAAATAATAAAATTATTTACAAATAAAAAAACGACATGCCAAATTGCAAATTTGGCATGTCGTTTAAATAAAGCAAATTAAAATGTCTTTACCGCCGTCAGAAGCATGCGATCCGTTTAATTAATTTTGCGGATCGATACACTCATTCCAAACCTTTTTTTATTGAAATGATAATTCTTAATATTTACGAACTTAATGTGTTTAATGTTTTATGCTTTATGTATTTGTGGAAAAATGACTTATCCCTACCTATCTTTAAAGTTCTCTTTTGTGAAAAACCAATAAATAAATATACTCTTAGAAATAATAAATTTTTGCATAAACCTTTTTGTCGAACAAAGTTTAACCAGTATGGTATTGCTTATCGTGCGCCGTATCTTTGGAATAAAGTTGTTTTGCCAAACTTTAATATATTTTACACTTTTCCAATTTTTAAACATAAATTTAATTTTATTTTCCGATGACATAATAAGGTTCTTCTAATTGTAATTATGTACCTTTATTTAGAACTTTTTAATTGTAAAATACGTTTTATGTTAATTGTAAAATACGTTTTATGTTAATTGTAAAATACGTTATATGCAACGACTCTTTTTGTTTTACTTTTCTTTTTGTTTTACTTTTTATATGTAACGACTCTTTTTGTTTTACTTTTTATCTTTTTGTTTTACTATTTACTTTTACTGTTTATTTTATAAATAGATTATATACATTGTAAATAATTATGCTAAATGCTTGTAAAAGGTTCTGATGATAAGATCAGTACGATCTTCTTTCAGAAACCTTGTTTGTATTTGTTAAAGTATTGTATTACGACAAATGTAAACTTAAAATGTAAAAAAAAAAAAAAAAAAAAAAAAAAAAAAAAAAAAATTGCAAATAAAACTTGTCTAACATGTAACATCATATAGTTCACATGTGGCTATCTTTAATGATTACTTTTATAATAAAAATCTAAAGAGAATAATATAAACATTAATATGTGTATAATGCAACAATTAGGCATATAAAACAAACAAATAGAATAAGAAAAAATTGTAGCTAAATTACAAAATATTTACTATCAAGAAATCAAAAACTATATGAAATAAATAAAAATTAATAGACAAATTATTTAACATTTAACCACATAAGAGTTGTTTTGAAAGTTTAGACTCTCAAATCAGAAATAAAAATCAATAAATATAAAATTAAAAAATTAAAATATCAAAAATAAATAAAAATACCTGCAAAAATCGAAACTAAAAAACAACTTTTTTGAAATGTAAAGATATATTTACAACAAATAAATAAATTAACACAAAAAAAAAAAAAAAACTACTGATAAAAGTTCATAATGTTTGACCTTTGGTCATTCTGCCTCCCAGCACCACTCCTCCTACCGGTGGCCCCATATGGGGTTTGTCTCCTCCATCTAAAGGAGGGATCATCTCCCCCATATTGGCACCACCGGAAGAAGGCCCTCTGTGATAATGGGCCTGGGTGCTGGGAGCGATAAAAAAGGAAACTCTCCCAAGATGCTAAAAAAAAAAGCAATAAATTTGATTACATACCTTATATGCATATATATATAGATATATATATATATATATATATATATATATATATATATATATATATATATATATATATATATATATATATATATATATATATATATATATATATATATATATATATATATATATATATATATATATATATATATAAATTCTGCATAAAACGACTAACATATTAATTTTAAAAACGACTAAAATTCACTTTACCTGTTGCAACTGAACAATGTGTTGCTGTTAAGAAAAATATATATATATATACAATTATATCATGTATTTATATGCAAACTTCACAAATTTAATGTTTATATTTAAATACACATAACACCCATATAAATGCATAAGTGTGAAAACATGTTACCTGACACTGATGCCAATGGTGCTTCTGTGGAGGCAAAAAAAAAAAAAAAAAAAAATTAACATATACTACAGTCATGAAACTTCAAACATAAAAAAAATTGAATGTTTATGTTTTAATACACATAACACCCACAAAACTACATAAGTATGTAAAACACACTACCTGAATTAACTGAAAGGGGTGCTGTTGGAGAAGCGAAAAAAAAATTAAAGTTTAAATTAACACAAACCAAACATTCATAAAATTGCATACAAAAGAAAAAAATTTAATGCTAATTTAAATGCATAAAAAATTAATATGCATAAAACCTATAAAACTGTATAAGTATGCTAAACCCACTACCTGACACAACTGCAAATGGTGCTTCTGTAAAGGCAAAAAAAAAAAAAATTGTAATGTTCAAATTAACATATATTTAACAGGTATGAAACTGCATACAAATATTAAAAATGTAATGTTTCAGCTTGAATAATACAACACCCAAAAAATACATAAGTATGCAAAATACATTACTTGATGCAGATCCCGTTGGTGCTTCTGAGGAAGCAAAAAAAAAAAAAAAATTAAAAGTTAAAAAAATTAATATAAACTACAGAGTCATGAAACTTCATACAAATATAAAAAAATTGAATGTTTATGTTTCAATACATAAGTTTGCAAAACACACTACCTGAAATATTTGCCAGGGGTGCTGTTGGAGAGGCAAAAAAAAAATTAAATTTTTAATTAGCACAAACCAAACATTCATAAAACTGCATAAAAAATAAAAAAATTTAATGCTTATGTTTTAATACGCAAAACACCTATAAACCTGTATAAGTATGCAAAACCCACTACCTGACACAACTGCCAATGGTGCTTCTGCAAAGGCAAAAAAAAAAAAATAGTAACGTTCAAATTAACATATATTTAACAGGTATGAAACTGCATACAAATATTAAAAATGTAATGTTTCAGCTTGAATAATACAACACCCAAAAAATACTTAAGTATGCAAAATACATTACTTGATGCAGATCCCGTTGGTGCTTCTGTGGAGGCAAAAAAAAAAAAAAAAATTAAAAGTTAAAAAAATTAACATAAACTACAGAGTCATGAAACTTCATACAAATATAAAAAAATTGAATGTTTATGTTTCAATACATAAGTTGGCAAAACACACTACCTGAAATATTTGCCAGGGGTGCTGTTGGAGAGGCAAAAAAATAAATAAATTTTAAATTAGCACAAACCAAACATTCATAAAACGGCATAAAAAATAAAAAAATTTAATGCTTATGTTTTAATACGCATAACACCTATAAATCTGTATAAGTATGTTTCAGTTTAATACACAGAACACCCAAAAAATACATAAGTATGCAAAACACATTACTTGATATTGATCCTGTTGGTGCTTCTGTGGAGGCAAAAAAAAAATAATAATACTAATAATAATAAAGAAATGTTTTAGCTAATATAATAAAACAGAAATGTATTATAGTCGCACTTTGCTTACCGTTTGATTTTTCTAATTTTTCTAAAAAAGAAATTTATTAACAATAACATAGAAACTAACTTGCAAAGTATAAAATAAGTGTAAAACACAAAACTAAAAAGTATTTAATATTGTTTGCAGAAAACAACGGCATCAAAATAAAAAATTAATTTTAATTAACACATAAATCATGTAATGTTTTATCTCTTTATATCTAATATAATATACCTCTATAACAGTACAACAAATAAAAACACAACAAACAACAATTAATCATAAAACAAAATAAAATATTTACTTACTAAGTTGTTGTAATATAAGACCTAAGAAAAGGAGTAAAAAGTTAATTAAAAGAAGCAAAAAGACCATAGAATAGACTTTTTTGGAAGTAAAATGCTATACTATTTATAAATAGTATAGCATTTTAAACATGAAATATATTCAAACTTTGTTTACCAACTGAATCTTCCAAGGTTTCTAAACAAAATAAAAAAACCTATAAACTTTAAAAAAGAAACTAACTTGCTGAATATAGAATATATATAACTTTATGAAAATTAAAAAATGTATTAATATATTTGGACTTAAAAAAAACAAAACAAATACAACAAAAAAAATTGCTGACTTAGTTTGTCCATTACTTCCGCTAAACATAACAAAAAGTTATAACTAACACATTGCAGATGGTGAAATCTTATATATATATATATATATATATATATATATATATATATATATATATATATATATATATATATATATATATATATATATATATATATATATATATATACATATATATATATATATATATATATATATATATATATATATATATATATATATATATATATATATATATATATATATATATATATATATATATATATATATATATATA